GGGTCCGAGTGGTGAACAAGTTCTCAGCTGTAGCAATGTCATGACCTAGGCTCAGAATCTTGATTACAAGTTCCAAGCAGCTAATTTTTCCTGTCATTACTTGCAATTGTTATCTTTATTGAATAGGATCGTTGTTAATTCTCACATCTAATGCAGCTATTCGAGGCTATGCATTGTCGTATCTTTCGTCTTGTGCTGGTCGCATCAGATTTCTGTTGGGAACTCCAGGAATGGTGGCTCTAGATCTTGATCCCAGTCTGAAAGGACTATTTCAGCGGATTGTTCATCATCTTGAAAACATACCCAAGTCGCAGGGTGAAAATATATCTGCCATCACATGCGATCTATCAGTAAGAAGTCTATGTTATACATATGGTTCCTTAATTAGATTGCACGACATCTTTGTTGACTGCATAACTTTCTTTCTTGTGCAGGAGTTTCGCAAGGATTGGCTGTCAATACTGATGATTGTTACATCGGCTAGAGCATCAATAAACATAAGACATTTGGAGAAAGCAACTGTCTCCACTGGGAAGGAAGGATTACTGTCAGAAGGAAATTCTGCCTATAACTGGTCCAGGTATTTGCTGACTTTCATTTAACATTTCATATGCTACAATTACCTGCAGACCATTTACCAATTACCTGCAGACCATTTACCAGAAAGGAGGAAAAACTTAACGGCAACATTTGCTCATTTTTCTTTCGGTTTAAGTTTTCCCTCTCTACACCTACACTTGAACTAGGATGCTTTCTGAAAACCGATCTGGTACCAACTAGGGAGCCATAATAACCCAGCTGCAAATAAACCACTTGCTGAAATCCTCTCTTATTTCCGCAAGTAGAACCCATTTAAACAGACTCGAATAAAGAATCCTCGAATGTCTAATCAAATTTCTCTACCGGGAAGTTGACCCAACCCTCAACCTCAACAGAAGATTGCACAAGTTTTGATAATGTAACACGATAGCTGTATTGTGTCTTCATCTGGGTGCGTTTCCCACGATATCTAGTTGAGACCTATTTTCACTACCCCAAGTTAAGAGGGATGTGCTTCAGCATTTTGGTTCTGCCAGATTAATTTGTCTACTACAAGATCCAGTTGAATTGCACTAAGTGGATTTAGTTCCTATATGTGCTGCCTGAAGCATTCAGAGATATTGATTCTTTCTTGCAGGTGTGTCGATGAACTTGAGGCTCAACTATCCAAGCATGGAAGTCTGAAGAAGCTTTATTTCTACCACCAGCACCTCACTGCGGTGAGTTGTTTTCTGAACTAAATTGAACCTCTCTCTAGGAAATGTTTCTATCCTGCTATGTGGTAGGTTGCCTCTCATAAACATGTGAACATTAGGTTCTTCACCCATAATTTTTTAAATTTGGTGCTACTGATGCTTTGGGTAGTTTCTTTTCATGTCACATACCCTAGCAATAGTGAAACTGTTTTATAGAAACTCTTGGCCTGTTAAGCCAAGTGACATTTGTTGTAGGTCTTCCGAAACACCATGTTTGGTCCTGAAGGTCGCCCTCAGCACTGTTGTGCATGGCTTGGTGTAGCTAGTAGTTTTCCAGAATGTGCTTCACCAATTGTTGCAGAAGAGGTATGTTCAAACTCTTTTCATTTTATCTTGGCCTCCCTAGATCTACTTTCACATCTAGAAGTGTGCCATCTGACAGAACCTCCGATAGGCATGCTAGGTCAGGGTTGGATTAGTAGTTCAGAAAGCAAGAAAACATGTGGAATGAAGAGTGTAATTGCATAAAGGGATATACTGCACCTTTCTGTAAATTCTCCATTTGATAAGGCAGCTTGTCATGAGCTTTTTGTTCTCTGCACAATTATATCTCGAAGAGTAACACAAGCAACACTTGGCAGGATTGCCAATAGTTGTTTAGGATGCATCTAGGCTGAAAGAAATTGTGGTTCTACATATCGATAAAATTTAGGTGCATGTTTCTGAACAATTACATTTTCGAGAAGCACGCAAGAAGTTAGGATAATTGGCAATGTTAGTCTCACTTGCATCATTAATCTGCCTGTGAGACTACCAGGCTGGGACCTTGTCAATCGGACAAATCAACCGCTCAATTTCTCATGTGGTAGTAAGGAAAATGAACAATAAAAAGAACTGAAATGAGAAGAGGTTGACTTCATTTTATCTCTGCAAACAGGTGACTAAAATTGGGCGTGATGCAGTACTCTATGTTGAATCTCTTATCGAATCTATAATGGGGGGATTGGAGGGATTAATCAATATTCTTGACTCGGAAGGAGGATTCGGTGCCTTGGAGGCTCAGGTGATCTTTTACTTTGCTCTTTTTGTTTACTTTTTACCTAGCTCTAATGTTTTATTTGCACACAAGAATTTCTCCTTGGATATCCTTTAACTAACTTGCCTTGTGATTTCAGCTCCTTCCAGAGCAGGCAGCTCTCTATTTGAATAATGCATCAAGAGTCTCCATTCCTTCATCGAAGTCACCCAAGGGCACTGTTGGCTTTCCTTTGCCTGGCCATGAGAGCTATCCTGAGAATAATGGTTCTGTAAAGATGTAAGCAGTACTCAAACTAGGTGGTTTTGTTTAGAGTCTATAACCGTAGTAATAATCGTCCATTGTTCAATATGGCAGGTTAGAAGCTGCAATGCAAAGGCTAACCAACTTGTGCTCAGTTCTGAATGATATGGAGCCTATCTGTGTTCTAAATCATGTTTTTGTTCTCAGAGAGGTAAGAATGCTGAGCTTCTGTTGCTTATATATTGTCCCCTTTCGTTATTTGACTTCGTGTGCTGTGTTCATCCTCTGATTCTAGTACAACACTTTCATACATTTGAACTCTCTCATTTATCCAAGCTCAACAATATGGTTGAATATTGCAGGCAGGCTCTCCCCTGGAAAACTTCTGCCTAATAATAACTAAACTATGGGTGTGTTTGTTTCGAAATATGCTAAAAAGTGTCTCCCCCCAACCCCCACCCCCACCCCAAATTGTTCTAGAAGCGCAGATAAACGCGTTTTTGAAGTTGAGTGATGGGATATGAGATATTATTTAGCGATGAAATAGTAATTGATAAGGGATTAGATAGTTTGGTTAGTAATAAAATAATAAATAAAGATGTATGTTTTAAAAATGATTATTATGACGGTTGTCTTCGGTGCACAACTTTTCTGGGTGCATAGCCCCACATAATAGTCATTATGATTAGACGATTAATGTGAAAATGATGTCAATTGTCACTTTTGATATGAATTAGGATAGACAAGAAAACATATGAATTCGTACAAAAATTCTTCAAAATTTACTTTGATTTAAAGAATTTAGGGTTTAGAGATTTAGGGTTAGGTTTTAGAATTGAAGGTCTAGAGTTTAGAATAACGCATTGATTAGTTGTGATCCTATTTTATATCATCATATTATATTAATGCTTCCAATTCAAAATTCGATGTCTTAATGTTAGTTTTAGAAATGGGTGCATGGTATGCCCTCATTTTTGTGAGTGCACCGTAGAAACCATCCTATTATTATGAGATAATTTTAGAAGTAATTTTTTAGTTTAAACGGCAAAGTTATAAATAAAATTTTATCAATGATGTGGCTTTTTAGTTTGAAATAATAATTTGTGGAATTTAGGGTTAATAAATCTTTCTAAAAAGTTGGATTGATGAAGTGTGTTTGATTTAACTGTAAGTCAACTTAAAAAAAACAATTACTTATTTTATAGCCACACGAAACACACCTTCTATGTACCTTCCACTCTCCAAATTTAGTTGTGACATCTCGGTCTTTTCTGCAGTACATGAGAGAGTGCATCCTTGGAAACTTCAGGAGAAGATTGCTTACAGTACTGAAAACAGACAACGATCTTCAGCGGCCCTCTGTGCTAGAATCACTGATTCGTAGACACATGAGCATTATCCATCTAGCTGAGCACCACATTAGCATGGACCTGACACATGGCATGAGAGAAGCTCTCCTGACAGAGGCTTTCTGTGGACCTGTTTCTTCCTTGCATCTATTTGAGAAACCTGCTGAGGATGAGCAGCTTACTGGATCTGCTACTGAAGTTGTGTGCAATTGGTACATAGAAAACATTATCAAAGATGTATCAGGTGCTGGAATCCTCTTCACACCCAAGCACGAATGCTTCAGAAGCACAAGGCCGGTTGGTGGATATTTTGCTGAATCGGTTACCGATCTCAGGGAGTTGCAGGCCTTTGTACATATCTTTGGGGGCTATGGGATTGATAGACTCGATAGACTGATGAAGGAGCACACATCGGCCCTCTTGAACTGCATTGACACTTCATTGAGGTCGAATCGTGAGCTGCTTGAGTCTGTTGCTGGAAGCATGCATTCTGGTGACCGGATAGAAAGAGAGGCATGTTCGAAGCAGATTTTGGATTTGGACACTGTAATTGGATTCTGCATTGAAGCAGGGCAAGCACTTGCGTTTGATGAGCTTCTAGCTGAAGCTGGGGGACTTGTGCTTAAAGAAGGCGCACCGCTGATACACTCGCTAATTACAGGAGTAGTTAAGCACATACCTGAAGAAATACCAGAGAAGAAAGAAATCAGGAGGATTCGGGGGGTGGCTAATAATGTCGGTATAGTTGGAGATCATGACTCTGAATGGGTAAGATCGATTTTGGAAGATGTTGGAGGTGCCAGTGATGCTTCATGGACCTTGTTGCCTTACTTATTTGCCACCTTCATGACATCAAACATTTGGTACACTACTGGCTTTAATGTCGACACAGGAGGCTTCAACAATAATATCCATTGCTTGGCAAGGTTAGCTTTTCTGTTTCCAGTAATAAACTTTTTAATTCTTAGCAGGTAGGTTTACGCAAACTAATTGATTAGGCATTTTCTCTTGTCGACAGGTGTATAAGCGCTGTAATTGCTGGGAGTGAATATGTGAGATTGGAACGTGAGCATCAACAAAGACGGTCTGTATCAAGTAATGGCCATGCATCTGAGGCTCTGGATCCTGAAATACACAGCAATTTGTCGGCCGAAGCAAGTATTAAGTCCGCAATGCAGTTTTTTGTCAAATTTGCAGCAGGAATTGTGCTAGATTCATGCAGCGATGTCAACAAGTAAAAGTTCACTGCATTTTGTACATACCAAACTTGATGATTGGTGTATCCGCGTCCACTTACTTCCCTGTTTCTTTGTGCAAACAGGTCCCATGTTGTGGCAAAGCTTATTTTCTTGGACCAACTTTGCGAGATATCTCCATACCTTCCAAGGAGCTCGCTTGAAGCCTATGTACCGTATGCAATTCTGCGGTCAATCTACAGTCAGTACTACTCTAGCTCTCCATCTATGCCACTGGCTATGGTCAACACGGCATCTCCTCGCCAGTCCCCCGCTGTGTCCTTGGGACACGCTTCTCCTGGTATCCGGCAGCTTCGTGGGGACTCAACGCCTCAGTATGGGGTGAGCGATTCTTCTTCAAGCTACTTCAGGGGCTCATATAGCCAGGAGCATCCTTATGATACTAATGGTGGTGGGAGCGTGAGAAGCCGAAACAGCGACGACAACAAATCCAGGAATGTTAGGCGGTCTGGCCCGTTGGATTACAGCTCGAGCAGGAAAGCAAAACACACGGAAGGATCGTCAAGCACGGGGCCAAGCCCACTGCCGAGGTTTGCAGTGTCAAGGTCTGGTCCTTTGTTGCACAAGTAATAGAGCAAAGGAGGTGGTCGCAGTAGTATATTTTGAAGTACGAGCTTTTTCTTTTTCTCATTTTGATGATAGTTGTGTAGTATATGCATCCTGTATTTACCGGAACCCATGTTACACGGTTGAACTTCAGCTTGTTTTCCAGACATGAGTCTGTCACACCTATAATTGGAGATGAAGAACCCAAAGCTGCGTTATTTGACAGGTGAGAATCGGCGAGTTTACAAGGTTACAGCCTTACAGGGTGGGTCTTGAGATAGCAAAACTAGTGTATAGTCTATACAGTGTAAAAGGGATAGTGAACTAGTCGGCGTAAAACCCTTCTAGCGGAGGTGATGCCTGCAAGTGGGAAGAGGGAAATCACTCCATTTGGTGAACAGATAGAATTCCTATTGTCAACACAGCAAACAGAACTGAGGATGATGATGCAATGAGAGGGAGAAGGGAACCTGAGAGTTTCTTTGGTGCCTCGTCGGACTTTGCAGCGTATTGTAGGGAGGCCAAGACGCTGGTGAGCTTCGTAACGATGGCACCCGGAGAACCCTACAACGAGAGGCGTAAAGGATTGAGGTTAAACAATCACAGGGATATGGAGGTAGGTTTTCCATGCTGCTACACATACCGTAGTAAACACCATCTACCTCAAGAACATCAATCTGCAACAAATACAGACAGAATGAACAAAAATGAATACTTGTGATGAACCTGATTACTGGAATTCTGAAATCCTTTTCTAGTATTGTACTGGTCTACTGCACATAACGGTAAGCAAGAACTTAAGAAGGATCATATTCATAGGGGACTTAACAGGGACTTGGAGGCCGATTTGCTGGATGCTCTGCATGAGTTCCTGCACCTTGTTTGGATCATTAGCTCTGGTTCGCATCAATGGCCGCTTAATCTGATCCAGAGGTAACTCCACTATCATTGGCCCTGCCTTCTGCGTGCTCCCAGTCCCAGTCCCAGGAACAGCCCCTTCAAACAATAACAAAAACAAAAAAAAACAAAAAAAAGTAACAAAATTCAAATCAAATACAACCATCACAACCGAATTGAGAAGAAGAGACTCAATTACCATTAGACGATGAAGCCGCTGCTGACACAGAGAAGCCTCTGAGGTTAGCAGTTGGCACTCGCAGGATGAAGCTCGCCATTTCTTCTCCGTTTTCTCGCTCTTCTTTCAGTCTGTCTGTCTGTCTGTCTGTCTGGACTGTCTGTCTCTCTCTATAAATAAGCGGATAAGAATCAGGCTGAATGTTTTAGAATTCATTTTAGTCTCCATCAGTTCACAGCCGTCCACGGGGGAGCGCGATCGCAGGGAGAACTAAAACGACGACGGATTACTCTCTGGAATAGTAAAGGAAGGATAGTTTTTTTTATTTTGGTAGAAGGAAGGATAGCTTTCAAGTGCTAAACGAACAGAGAGAGACGGCCATGGCTGCCGCAATCGGCTCTTCCTCCTTCACTCTTCTCAGGTACTGCTCCGCCTTCCGCCGTCGTCTTCCTACACTTTTTCTGGCGGTTTATAGCGATTCTCATTGTTTGAAACAGGAACTGTGCGCTAGTTGTGAGGCCATTTTCAACCGCCAAAGTCTTCCCCCGGCCAGCCTCTGCTTTCAGTTTCCGTTCCAAGCGCGTTAGGTTCCCGGTTCCTTCTTCTCACTCTCGCTCTCGCAGGTATCCCCTCACAATTGGAAAATGCTTGATCGGGCTTAGGGTTTCTTCTGAGCATTAAGAACATAGATGCAAATCCATGGTCAGGTTACGTCACGTCACGTCACGTCTATCTTCTTTTGGCGATTGATTAATGTTAATGGTCAATTTCTAAACAGATTATTATCAGGTCTCCGTCACTACACCTTCGTTTCACTTGTTCTGTAAAATAGGAAGAGATTATGGTTTGGTGATGCGACTGTAAAATAGGAAGAGATTATGGTTTTTACCATTCCTCCTTCATTCGTCTGAGTCGTGGTCTTCTTTTGGCACTGGTTTTTCCTGATGTTGTTTCCTTGATTCAAATCTGTGTAGATTGCGCTTTGCTACTAATGCCGTCAATGATGAAGAGGCTGCCGCAAAAGCAGCTGCTGCCACTCTTGATGAAGGAGCTCCCACCATGTATGTACTCTCCATATTCTTTAACTACTGCAGAAACCATATCCAACTGGGTGTCAATAGTCTTTACTTGGCCTGTTCCCTTGGTTTGCACTTTTTTGGTCATGTTTGAGAGATGATCTTAGTTCCTCGTCTACATATGTTGATTGTTTCTTCCTTTTTCAGTTTTGACAAGATCATAGCCAAGGAAATCCCTTCGTCCATCGTTTATGAAGACGAAAAGGTCCTGGCTTTCCGGGACATCAGTCCTCAAGCTCCTGTTCATGTCGTAATCATTCCAAAGATCAGGGATGGGTTGACAGAGCTTGGCAAAGTAAGCTTTCATCCATTATTCATTATGCACCCTAAAAGCACAACACTTGCGCATAAGTCGCTTTTATATGGTTGTGGCCCTGCAGCACTTTCTCCTCTTCATTGATTGGAATCATGTGCATGCTTAAAAGAGAACCTGGAGGTTACATGTCTCCAGTAACGTGGTGAAGGAAGTCACTTTCTGGCTGATATACGCATCTTATTTGCCAAATCGTTATTTGACTTCACTATGCCTTTTCTTCTCCTAGAACTCATCTTTTAAGCGTTTCCAGAATTTATCCCCTCAACTCTTCCTTCAGATGCTAAAACTCTCTGCTTTACATATGCTTACATTTCTGCAATCAAATCCGTGCAAACAGTTGACAGCCTATTCTATCTATCCAACTTATAATAGTTCTCCTGACACCTTACTGTCTATACATTGTTCCTTGTCAGGCGGAAGCCAGGCATGGAGAAATCCTAGGCCAACTTCTGTATGCCGCCAAAATAGTTGCAGAGAAGGAAGGGGTTGTTGATGGGTTTAGGGTGGTTATCAACAGTGGCCCCACTGCCTGTAAGTAACAATCTGATATCTTTTGATCTGGAGTGACTGCCCCTTAATTCATCATTTCCAATGCCACGGTCCGATCCAGGTCAATCTGTTTATCATCTCCACCTGCATGTCTTGGGAGGAAGACAGATGAAGTGGCCTCCTGGTTGAGTCGAGCGAATTCCTCTCCGCTGTTGCGTCTCTGCTGCAACTTCTACTACCGCCCAGCTGGAGCTTCTCTTGTAAGTAACTTACTTGGAACCTGTGTAGGTCGAGAGCTTTAGCAGGTCTCATGGTCATCAAAGCAGATTCCGCCCCTCATTTTAGCCCTTTTCTACTGTTTGCGTTAGTTGCATGACTAAAGAACATGACCAATCGAACAGATGAATCCACAAAATGATCTTGTCCTCGACTTCAGGGTTTCACTGTGTCAGTGAAGTTCAGATTTGCGTTGTTAAGATAAACTATTTTGAACTACAAAAAGTGGGAGAGTCGGAACTCTCTACGGTCGATACAAGTTGAAAAGGCTGAAGTCTCTGTCCTTTGCACATTAGACGCGATTTACCCGTAAAGGAAAAGTAGAAGAGAAGGGTTACTTAAAGTAGCGAAGTAAAACAGCTAAACGTAATTTGGTGAGCAAACCTCTTTCATTATAACATCATGATCAACTTATTATTTGCCTAGATGTACAAAATCAATGAATCACATCTTCTCTGTGAGTATACATGGTAAATAGTGGGGAGAAATAAATATACAAGTATACAACTATGCTTGCCTTCAAAAGTGAGTCACCAAAATCATATCACCGGTAACCTTTCCCTGATTGAAGGAGCAGGCAGACCCGAAAGTATAGGGCACAAATTAAACTCAGTCAGCAGCAGGTTATCGTCCATTCATCTTTTGATTTCCAGGACTCCGATTCAGGATGTGCCTAGAAGAGTCTCCCGTAGACCGTCGTATAGCACTAGCTCTAGCGCACACAGAAAAATCCTACTCATCATCATACCGAGGCTACGCCGTCAGTCTGGCTTGTACATAGGCAAGAACAGTCTGGCTCAGTCAAGTCCCTTTTAATGAGCCTTTTATCACGATTTATCATCAGCTTTATTAGTGGTAGCTTCTGCGACACTTGACGCCATATCTCATTCACTGCTCCGTTTGGTTCCTTGTACTCGAAATAGTGGCTCACCTGAAATCAGTAGTTGATCACAGTTGAATAATGCTAAACTCATCTATACGCGATTGGTATCAAATCACAAAGAAACAACTGATAGAACTACAATGATCTGCAATCAGTTTCGCAAAGTCTGGAAGAAAAAAGACCAAGAGTGAGTGAGTGAGTGCATCCCACACAAGTCAAGCAGTCAAACAATGAACTCTTCCCTCCCAATCCAAAACTACGAACATTCATCTGTTATATGTTATGATCAGTAGCAGTATATGGCTATCTGCTATTAAACTCCTCTGCATTAACAATACTTGGTTCATGGCACAGGCTCAAGACAGATTAACAAGCAAAACATAACAGTTTCATACGCGATGGATCGGAGGAAGACGAGCGTCTGAGGCTCGTCATAAGCAATGTAGTAAGATATACCTGTTTCAGCTCTTTCTGGAACTCCAGAATTCTCTCTGTGCTCACTCCTCTCAGCAAATTAGTCAAGTAGCCAGGTTGAAGAGAATCTTTGGTGCGCACGAAGATTGCAACTTTTCTATAGTCGATCACATCTTCGAAAGGTAACTCGATGCTGTCACTTACTATCACCGGGACACACAAGCTAACGATTGCATCGAACAGTCTGCAAGCCGACGGAGTATCCCCTGCCGGATTCAAACAGAACTTTGAAGTGTGCATTGCGCGGTTGGCCGCGCGGCGATCCTCCCTCGACTGCGTCCCTTCTTTTATGATCACATCCTTGTCACCTTCCAGCAATCGGAATAGCAAGTCCCTGATTCTGCCTCCCTGAAACAAGAAGAAGAAGAATAAAAGAAAACCCCGTGGCCGTGGGAATGAGAGAAAGCTTGTTCAATCAATCAAGCAAGCAGAGACGGGGGGGAAGAAAGCTTTATTTATTACATCTTTCCGGTATCGATTGCCCATGAACAAGAGCAGAGTGTTCCTCTTCTTCACTCCGATTTCGCCTTTATAAGGGTTGATCCGGTGAGCATAGGGTACAATCACGTCCTTGATAAGCGATCCTTGATCGGGCCTCACGCGGCCGAAATCGGACAGCAAGAGCACCGAGTTCTTGACCCGGTCCATCACTCGGTTGAGCGCGTTGGGATCTCCGGCGGCGATGACGTGATCCCTCCCGTTGTTCCGCCGCCAGTACTCCTGCTGCTCCAGCCACTGCACCAGCTCGTCCTGCATCTTATCGTCGCTGTACACCTGATCATCCGCCACGGCGAGGCGGCGATTTACGTTCACGAGCAAGCTCAGGGAAGAGAAAAACGGGACGTAGAACAGCTCGGCCTCGTCCGGGTCGGCGACCCGGACCACGGGCGACCCGACCCGATCCTCGTCAGTGCGATTCAGATCCGCGAACAGGTGCCATTCCCCCATGTGCTGGTGGCCAGGGTACCACGATTTGGACACATCAGTGGAGCCGCGAGCCCTGGCGAATTCCTCGATGATGCCGCCGGTGAATTGCCTGGGGAGATTGTACATGAAAACCTTGATTCTGTTCGCGCTGAGCGTTATGGTGGACCCGACGACGACGCCGTCGCGGATGTCGAGAGGAGGAGGAGAGCTCGCGGGCCGTAGGAAAGTGGTGAAGTAGGCGGCGTAGAGGACGAGGACGAGGCAGGCGGAGCAGGCCATGGCTTGCTTGACGAAGGAGGATTTTCGCGCCATTGCGGAGTAGTGGTGGCGGTGGAAGCCTCCACGCACCGGCGGAATGGTGGTGGTGGAAGCGGAGGCGGAAGTGGCGGTGCGCAGGATGGATTATATCGTGCGCGGAGTGTGTAGGATAGGATGCCACGCCTTGGGTACGGAAAACAGTGCAGAGAGCAGAATAAAAAAAAAACTGTTTTTATTTTACAACCAAAACAGAATTTAAGTAAATATTAATCTTATTTTCCTCGTTACAAAAAACACTTTCAATCTGGGTATTGACACCTTGATACCCTCTTCCCTGAAAAATAATGGGGAAATAAATACTAATAATTGATCTTTTCAGAATAGGAACAACGATTCTTGTAAATGCAATTGGGTTATTGTCAAATGTCAATAGGGGTTAAACGTGTTATTATAATGTTTGGATGGGTAGAGTGTGACACCAAAATTGTGCATACAACAATTCAGAAACTAAATTCTTAGTTGTATTTTTGAAAAAGAAAAGTTACTTTTCAAATTAAGTTGCTTAAAGGACGTTACAATAAGACCAGAAATATGAACTCAGTTCCCAGGGAGACTGTTAT